CAGCCTCTGGGTACAAAGGTAACCCCCTGGCTCACCTCTGAAACCCTCGCCGGGCTGCAGCCTGTCTGGAAGGAGATGCATCCTTTGGAAGTTGGGGACCGACAGCGCAGCACTGAGCACGTTTTGCAGAGGCTCCCGCAGAGGGGAGCATGCACCACAGCCCTGGTGTAAATCCACTCCGCGTGAAGTTTTTGTGCTTTGAATCTTCTGCTCTACCCGGTATGCAAGTAGCAACTGATGAACTTCTCAAAGACGTCCTCCCTGCCATCAAAGCAGTGACCTGCTGTGATCAAGCAGCAGAGGAAGTATAAACAGGCTTTGGTTTCTGTAGCTGAATGCATCAGCCCCAGCTCAATCCCCTCAACCGTTTCCCCTGCAGCACAGCCTCTGCATGCACAGATAACCTCAAACCCAACCCTGCAGCTGTTGTTAGTTAATGCCCATTTCATGTCAAACCTTGTGCTAGAGCAATCGTGGAGGTACAGACCTCTCCTGCCGGGATTACTCACAGCAGCAGGTCGAGCATGCCCAGGCCTGGCAGGAGGACTGCATCTGCAGGCAGTGGTGGGAGGGCTGGCGGGGAAAAGCTTTTGTTTTGTTCTTCTTCTGACCCTGCTGGGTACTTCAGCAGTGCTGCGCTCTTGGCTTGCCAGCTGCTGGGTGGAAAGGAGCGTGAGTAGGCCCTGGGCATGGTCCCCAGCCATGCCCACCCCTCAGCGGGTATAAATGTCTCTAACTCCTACCATCTGGTTCTAGCCTGTAGAGGGATTGTCCTGTTGCCAAGGGAAAAATGAAGTCTGGAGTGCAATCATTGCTACAGCATCGTTAAGCCTTGCTGTAGCCTCTGACAAGGACTTGGTGTCTTTCCAGGAGGAGAGGACGTTTTGGTTTGGGAGGAGAGCTTTCCCCAAATACACGGAAGTGCGGAAAGGCTTTAGGATTTGTTATTTTCCCTCTCTATGCACCTTTTGTCCTGGGAAAGAAGATTCCTAATGAAGCTGTTAAGTCCTATGTAAACAACTTCATCTGCCAGATTGGCTGAGAAACACCAAAACCCCACAGGGCAGGTAGAAAGACAAAGACAGGCTTTGCAAGACAAAGCCACTGAGAGGCTGTGAGAGTCCTGGAGCTGACTCCTCTGCCCCAGCAGCGCTGGTGAGCAGGGATGGGTTCCTAGGACAGCAGAGCCCTGTCCTTAAGGCAAGGTGCTTTGGTGACACTAGGAAATCCAACTGTTCATGGTCCATCTCACCATCTCCTTCTCCTCCCATCCTAGTTTATTGCCCAGCTGCTAGGGCTCCTGATCAGCGTGGTCAGCTCCATCTTCTGTGGCCACCTGGGGAAAGCTGAGCTGGATGCCGTGACGCTGGCTGTGTCTGTACGTATAACTCTTGATTCCCTTCCGATTTAAAACACAACAATTATGTGTCACCAAAAAAAGAGGAAGAAAGATACACCACCTGTAGTAACGTCTGTGTGAGGATCCCATGTGTGAGCACAGCCTTGGTGCAAAACAAGCATCACATCCACCAAACCTTTATTTTGTCCTGAGTGCAGATGAGACATGAGCAGGCAGTGACGGTGCCAGTGTAAGGCCAGCACCCAGGCAGGGACCTGGAGCCTGTGACCAGCTCTCTGGACTCATCTGACTTAGGGGTGTGCCTGTGGCCAGGAGCAGCACTGTTTGTTGTCCTTTAGATAGTCACCCCTTTATAGAGGGTCCTTTTCCACATGAGAAGAGAGAGGAATCTATTTAGGTAACAAGAACGTGTTATTCTGAGAAACAGAGAAAGGCTGGAAACTTCACAGAAACTTGTGACAGAACTGGCTTCTCACCCACTGGGGAGGAACACAGCTCTTTGGGCCATATCCCCTGTCACCTTCCCTTGCAACCCAAATTCCTTGTCTCCCCTCCAGGTTATCAACGTGACCGGCATCTCCATCGGTAGCGGTTTAGCCTCAGCATGCAACACGCTGATGTCCCAGGTCTGTAGCATCTCGCCCTTTCTTGTACCTGACAGGGATCAATCAGTGGTGTCTTGCCTCCTGTGCAGCGTGATCTGGGCATAGAGGGTGGGAGGATGGTGGCTTCCAGCCAGCATGGGGCTGTGGATGTCTGGCTGGAGCCTGCTCCCTCCCTGCAGCTCCCCCAAGGAGCCCTGGTTCATGCCTGAGGAGCAAAGGCATGTGCAATCCGCCCGAGAGGCAGTTATACCCAACCAGCCTGGCATTAGCCACTGTGGGGCGTAGGAAATGCATTTAATGAGCCTGTTGCTGCCCTGGGTCCATTGCCCAGACCCTTTGGTTCCCTGAAATGCTCACCTTAGTCCTCTCTCCTGGCTCAGACATACGGCGGCAAGAACCTGAAGCAGGTGGGCACCATCCTGCAGCGAGGGATCCTCATCCTGCTGCTCTGCTGCTTCCCTTGCTGGGCGGTCTTCATCAACACCGAGCAGATCCTCCTGCTCATCCGACAGGATCCCGAGGTCTCCAGGTCAGGGGTGAGATCGAGCCCTTCGGGATGAGGCGTTTAGCTGGGTTGCCATGCGGCGTTGAAATCAAGGCTCTGTGATGCTTGAGCGCAACGCTGCTTGGCTTGGCTCTTGCTTTGCTGTATCATTAACTGGGGAAACAACTCTCTTTCCAGGTTAACTCAGCTCTACGTGATGATCTTTATTCCAGCGCTTCCTGTAAGTTGCTGATGAAGTTTTTAGAAATTCTGAGTCCCTCAGGAACATCACGGGAAAGGAGGGAGGATGCAGATCACCAGGCAGTTTTACAACATGCCCCTTGATCTTGGGCCTTAGCACGTGGGTGTTGGCCAGTGGCTGCTGGACCAGCAAACTTGCACTCTTTCATCTTACTGTGCAAGGGCTTTTACTGCGGGCCACATCTCTGCACAACAGGTAACAGGCGATGGACGTTGGATCCGGGGGCTCCAGGGTTTGCTCTGAGATAAAAGCTGCACTTGCTGTTAGCACATACTCGTAGCTGCTGGGTTCTTGCCTAGTAACTCTGACTCCCCTAGGATAGGGAGCAGAACCCCCAGGGAATAAGGGGAATAACCTTTCCTGCAAAGTTTCCAGGCGCTCTGGTGCTGATGAGATTTCCCATTTGGAGACTGATCTCTCTTCCCGGTGGGAATGGGAGGTGCCTTTTGTTCCTCTTGGCTGTGGGTGCAGCCAGTGCTGGCAGATGCTGCGCTTCAGCCAGGCCACAGGAGCAGGGTGTTGGGCAGCGTGCCTGGCTGGGGCACCTTGAGAAGGTGTGCGGGGAGCCGAGGGAAGGACCTCTCCACCAGTGTTGGACGGTAGCTGGCTGTGGAACCATCGTGCAGCGGCACTGAGGAAACACATCTTGACTTTTGCAGGCGGCGTTTCTGTACCAGCTGCAGACGAGATATTTACTAAGCCAGGTATTGTATAACTAACCAGGTTCTGGGCCATAGATTAAAGGTATTCCTAGGAACATGGATAAAGTTGGGGATCTAAGTTCATTCTGTCCTGGGGAGAGCTGGGCTGAGGAACGTGTGATGCACAGCATCAGCCAGCCCTGCTAGGGCAGGGGGAGCTCACGGGAGCCTCTCTTTGCTTGCTCCATTTCCCCATCACTACCTCCCAGCTCTGCACTGAGTTGATGGCTCCAGCTTTTGAGCCCTGCGTGCTGCCTTCTGCAGGTCTAACACAATCCAGCTTGATCTGGAACAGGAGCCACCTTCTTGGCTTTCTCCTCGGGCCTCGATAAACATCTGCCTTGTGAACGCTGGCTGGGGCTTGGGCAGTGCTGTGGAAGCAAACTCCAAAGTCTCTCCTTGGCTTCCAGGCCATCATTCTGCCTCAGGTGTTGACAGGGATTGCAGTCAACATCCTCAATGCAGCCATGAACGCCTTCTTCCTATATGCACTGAAGCTGGGCCTGGTGTAAGTGTGAGCGGAGGTGGCGACAGCCTCTCCCCGGGTGCTGGGGTTTGCTCAGGGCTGTGGGAGGTTGTCCTGGGTGCCCAGTTCTGCCACCCTCAGCCAACCAGCCTGGAAAGAGAAGGCTGGAGGAATCTGGCCCATATCTGCAGCAAGGCTTGTTTGGGTGCTGTCAGGTCACTCCTGCTGTAGCTGAGGAGGTTGCGGTGGATGTTGTTTGTAATCAGCCTGTCTCTCTCCCCAGGGGCTCTGCCTGCGCTAACACTGTTTCTCAGTACGCCCAGGCCATTCTCCTCTTCCTTTACGTGTGGAGGAAGAAGATCCATGTGGAGACCTGGGGAGGTACCGTTCATAGCTTAATCCTTAAAAATACCAGTGTCTGGCCCTGGAGATTTTGCATGGTCACCAGCACATGAAAGGGAGAACATGCCTTCATTTTGCTTCACCTGCTCATTACAGGTTGGACCAGGGACTGCCTCCTGGACTGGGGTTCCTTTATCCAGCTGGCTGTGCCCGGCATGCTCATGATGTGTATTGAATGGTGGACCTTTGAGATCGGGAGCTTCTTGGCAGGTGAGTCCAAATCTGTTTCCTCTGGTCGTCTTCTGGCCATGCCTGTTCTGGTGGCTGCCTCCTAAGCGTGTCCCCAGAGCCGCTCGTGCCAGCAGCCTCCTCGCCTGCAGGGTTGGCTCTGCAGGATACCGCAACTGTTAGATTTTCTGTATTTGCTGCCTCCTTGTCAGCAAAGGAGGAGTTTTAATTCTGCTCCCGTAAAGAAAGCGGTGGATCTTTTTCAGGGCTGCTTAGTGTGGTGGAGCTGGGCACGCAGTCTGTCATCTACGAGATCTCCTCTGCGGCGTACATGGTAAGGGCTGGGTGTATTAAACTGGGGTCTTGGGAGGATCCCCCAAACGATGGCCCTGCAGATTAAGGCTGGGCAGGGAAGCAGGAGGTGGTGCCAGGCAGGTGATGACTCTCAGACCTGCTGTGCAGCTGCACATCACGGGTGGACTGCAGATGGAAAATTGCTGCAGCAGTGACATTTTGCCCCAAATTGCCAGCCGAGGAAGAAGTAAAGTGCCGCAGGCTTTGTTGCCACTCACCTCCTCCTTGTCTCCTGCTACTCAGGTGCCTCTGGGCTTCAGCGTGGCCGCGAGTGTCAGAGTGGGCAATGCCTTGGGATCGGGAGACGCCGTGCAAGCCAAGACGTCCTGTGTCACTGCACTGCTATGCGCAGGTCAGCCCAGGTCCTGTAGGTGGAATTAAGGGCAACTATCAACAAACAGTTCAGTTTCCCTCTCACAGGGCTGGGGACCCCGGAGGAACCCAGACCCACTTGTCTAGACCCTCTGTTTGGGGAAAGTGTGACCCTGGCCTCTCTTAGCAACCTGGTGCAAAGGCTTTAATAGTTACATATGCAATTTAGCATTCTGTCCTCCACCTGTAAAGGGAATGTAAAGGCAATAGCTGGGGAGAAATTAGGGAAAACCTACTGATCCTCTGCTGTAGTATCACTTGAAGGCCAGCCAAGTCCAGTCCCCATCACATGAAGCCCCTGAGGTCTGGTCCTGAGTGAGGAGCAGAACACATTGCCCTTAAGGCAAGCAATTTGATTATTTCTTTTTCTTTCAGGAGTTTTTGCTGTGGTGGTTGCAACAATCCTGGGAAGCCTAAAGGACGTGGTGGGATACATCTTCACCAGTGACAAGTGGGTTAACAGCTTTTTGAGTATTATTACCTTCTTGGAAGATGTGATTTATATCCTGGAACTGCTCAGAAGCTGTGGACAGATAAGAGTTCATAAACCTCCGTCCTGCAAACACATTCCCCAAAGGTTCCTCCCCACTGCCCAGTGTCACCAGGCAGCCCAGATGCTTCCGGGACACTACCAAGGTGGTACCCAAGCTGCACGCATCCCCTCGGGTCTCATGGGCTGAGATCAGGCTTTGCAGCTGAGATATGTCAGAACCAGAGTCCCTAGGGACCAGGCCATGCTGCTTTTCTTGACCAATACATACATCTTCCCAACAGGGAGATCGTTACCCTGGTGTCCAAAGTGATGATGATCTTCGCTCCGTTCCACTTGTTTGATGCAACAGCAGTGAGTATCCCAGCACGTGGAGCAATTTCTCTCTGCAGGTTAGGGTGCAATGGAGGGTGCAAAGTTGCCTGTGGCTCACTTTTGGTCTGTTAAAATGATGCAGAGAAGCAATCTGATAAACTCTTAAAGCAGCTGCTTGCATTACCTACAGCACCTCAGTGACCCCTGGGCTTGTAGTTGCCCGTTGGCACTGCTGCGGAATAGCCCAGTTCTTTCTCCTGCTTTTCCCTGGCAAGGCTTTGGCTTCTCAGTATCTTGTCAGAGCAGCATAGGCGAGCAGCTGGATCTTGAGAGATGTCAGGTACTCCCCAGCAGAGCAGCAGTGCTCATACAGCTTGTTAGATAGTAATTTCAGCCTGTCATCTCTTCGGGAGAGGGACCCAGGTAGTGTGGAAAGCACTGCCGTGCCCCTCAGTGCCTGCAGACAGCTCCACATCCTGCGCCTGGGACGAGAGGAGCCCTGCACCACGGGCTCTGTGATGTGGCTTTGGTCCCTCTTGGCTTTGCGGGACAGTGCTGTGGGTCGTCCTATTTCTGGGGCTGAGCTGAGCCCAGAGCTCCTGTGGCGGTACCTTCCATAGCACGTGCTGTCCCGTGTATTGATCCCTCTGCCTGCTTTCCTCAGGCGACTTGTGGTGGCGTGCTGCAGGGCACAGGGAAGCAGAAGATGGGTGCTATCGCCAACGCCATCGGCTATTACGCCATCGGCCTGCCCATCGGCATCTCACTGATGTTTGCAGCGAAGATGGGAGTGTTGGGTACGTGCGTCCTCCCGATCGTCATTGTACGAGCTGCTGGTGCTGCTGGCACTTCAGGATAAAGTCCAGTAGCTGTGGTAGTATTGGATTGACGCTTGGACTTGGTGATCTTTGAGGTCTTTTTCGTCCTTAATGCTTCTATGATTCTGCTGGGCCAGACCCTGTGCCCTGAGCCAAGGCTCAGCCCTGGAACTTGTGCTCAGATCTCCTTCGGCTCGGTGGGGCTGGATTGCACGCTGAAGCGTCAGCTGAGGCAGGCTCTGAGCAGCCTCCTTCAAATGGGGGCTGAGATATCCCAGTCAATCCAGGCTTGCTCCCAGCATAGGACGCCTCCCAGGAGGTGTTTCCTCTCCCATGGAGACAGGGTTAGACGCGAGGCAATAATCTGATCTCTTGGAAGTCCTTGGGCATTTTGGCAGTGGCTGGCAGAAGCAGACTTTCCTCAAGCCCTCCCTGAAGTAACTCTCCATTGCTGCAGGTCTGTGGGTGGGGATGATCGTTTGCATCTCTTTGCAAGCCCTTTCCTTCTTGGCTGTTGTCATACGCATGGATTGGAAGAAAGTTGCAGAAGAGGTGAGACTCTAGTAACTCTTAAAAGGTTGTCTGGTGAGTTCCTGTTCCAGTACAATGCCACAGCCCTCTGGAAGGAGGCAAAAGTGAAACGGGGTCTGTCCCTTTCCTGTCACAGAAGAGCAGTATGGTGCTGGGCATGCTTGCTTTGGGAGAGTGGAGGGAGGAGGCTCAGGTTTGCTTGGCTGGGCAGGACACCCTTGCTCTGAGAACAACAACTCTTCCCTGTGTTTTTAGGCTCAAGTTCGAGCGGGCCTGAAAAAACAACTGGAAGATGTGAATTCCAGTGGCACAGCTGCTAACAAAATATCTGCCGTGGGTATGTAACCTGACCAGCCCAAATTCTCCACCCAACCCTTCCTTTCCTTCACAGTCATGGCAGCCATGTCTGTCCTGGCTGGAAAGAGCACAGTATCTGCTGCTGGTCCCAGGCTGGTGGCACTTCTGTACTTTGTAACTGGGTACAATATACCCCGTTACCCCTGTCACCACCCTGGCTGCTCCAGGGAAGAGCCTGGACTGCCAGCCAGCATCTGCCTTACCTGGCATCGCGTGCCGCTTTGCTGTGGCGTGTCTCGGTGTCCCTGAGCCTTGTGAAAGGACCCTCAGGACTGTCACTAGCACTTGTGCTGCATCAGACTTTGTAGCTCGGCTTCCCTGCAAGACTCACCCTCTGTTACACAGATTATGTCTCCGTCAACACAGACACCGTGGAAACCATGGTCCTGCCGGAGAGCATCATTGGAGGCGAGAGGCAACCTGACCACGAGGTCATTGTGGCGCAGGAGGAGGTTTCCATTATCCCTGCTCCCCCCGCTGTGCTGTGGAGGACCCTCATCATCCGCCGCGTCCTGGCTGCCGCCGCTGCTGTCTCTGTCCTACTGGTGGGCATACTGGTCCGGCTCCTGACCGGCAATGGCTAGAACCAGTGACACTGGGGAGCTGTGCACAGAGCAGGAGGGCACGTGGTAATGTCCTGGGAGGACGGTGAGAGGGAAGGAATTCCCCCTCGGTTCCTTGGAAAGAGTCACTTTGCTCAGTTTCTGGTTAATTCACAACATTTTATCCCACACACAGAGTTCTTAAAGGGGGTGAGGATGCAGCACCTGGAAGGAAAGTGCTTGAGAGCTTGTCCCTTTCCTGCCCTGCCCCACAATGTCACTCGTGACAGGCAGGAGAGTATCCTGGGGCTGGTGCGGGAAGGAGTCCTCCTGCTGCTCTGCTGCTTCCTACCCCGTGGGGGCATTTGTCCGTGCCATTTCCCGATAACAGAGGTTCTTGCTGCCCGCAGCACTGTTTCCCCACGCACAAGAGCCCACTCATTCCTGCCGCCGCAGGGCAAGCCCGATGCTGTTGGGAGACGCCGGCTCCTCTGGCTGCTGCTGGGGCGTTGGGCACTGGCCCTGCTCTCCCCGCTGCGTGGCAGGCACAGGGCCTAAAGCAACTCTTCTTTGCACTTTTGTAAGGTGGGATTTTTGATACAATAAAGTTTTCTGAGTAAATGTTGGGCTGTTGACGTGGTGCAAGCGTGACCTCGGTCATTGGCATGGCTAAACTCTTGGAAGAGAGATGTGGCCCTGGTGTGGGCAGCATGGAA